TCCTAGAAAAATGTGTTTGTGCTTTCAGGGCAATCGGTCTGAAAACCCTACAGAGAACCCTTCTGAACACAAGGGCAGTACACTTCCAGCACCACACACTGCTGTATCCACCCTGGTGAAGAACAAGCTCCTGAACTTTCTGCCATAGGCTGTGCTGCTGTAGCTGCAGGTACTTGTTTCAGCTGTACCATGTTTAGTCCCTCCTCTGCCTGTGCAGGAGTGTTTCAATACTGTGATCAGCAACCAATAAAGACTGTGAATGTGTCAGACCCTGCAGAGTGATTTAAGATACTTCTATTTACATTCCTTTGTTCTACACCATTCACACACAAAACAAAGGTAAGCACAAATTTAAACAACTACACACCAGCATAAATGCTTAAAACGTCATTTTTAGAGAAGCATTTCAAGGAATTTGTGTTTGCAAGGATAGTTTAGCACTGGCACACTATGAGCTTGACAGTATTCCCATCCACCAGTTCTCCCTGTGCATCACTTTGAAGCACAACCCAAGGCCCAGATGGGTGGAAGCCCTCCCTGAGCGGCTGTGCATCAGCACAGCTGTCCCTACAGCGCTGCTCGGCAGCTGGATTCATAGGACAAAAACCTCTGCCCTGGCTGGTACTGGGAGCTCAGACGAGCCAGGTAAAAGGGCTCTTGAGAACCATGTTTAGGCACTTGCATCAGCTTGTGAACATCTGTAAGCAGTACGGAGGGTGTTATGCCATTCTGTGAGCTGGATTAATAGCTAAAGATTTCTGTGTTTAAAACACCCCCAACTGTAGGAACAGCCTAAGTGCCTAAAGATCAGAAAGCAATAGTTGAAAGCACTCAGTCATTTCCCAGCTACCACCTTCAGCACTAAGAACGACCAGATTTTACAGACAAACTCAGCATTGCCACTGATTTATTTTTTAAAAATGTATGCACAATGTAAAAAAAACCAAAAACAACAGGAGACAAGTATTGCACCTCCCATTCAGAGTCACTACTGACACCATGCAGTGCTATTCCAAAAGCTGCCTATGAATAAAACTTTAACCAGACATTTGGAATTTGCAAGCTTCCACATTGTTATCAAATCTGACTTCAAATTTTGTAATAAATAGATTAAGTATGTGAAATTTTCTTGGAAGAACATCAGTATCATAAGCAAAGTCTCTAAATAGGGTACTACAAAGTTGAAGTCCGAGGACTTTTTAGAGCTAGATGATTTTATTCTCCCTAGGAAACAAGATTAGTCAGATTTGTTAAAAGTTACCACGATGTATCAACAGAAAGTGTTTCAAACACCAGGATACTTGATATACAATTTATGGAATATAGAGTGGGTAAGGAAAAAAAAAAAAAATCACCTCTCTGAAACAAAAAGAGAAACAACATATGGAATAAGTTGCTAGGAAAAGCAATTAAATAAAAAAGTATTAAAAAAAAAAACAACTTACAAAAGAGACTTAAACTTGTTCCTTGAGAAGAAGGGGACTGGGAGGATAATAAAAATAGCAGGAAGGTAGGATTAAGATACGTTTTGGAAGGGCAGGCATGTGGAGCCATATGGCCTTTTCCTGTTCCTAAACTATCTTATGTTCTTTGAACTCTGTGTCTCAGAAGCCAGTCTGATCAACACAGCAGGAAGTTTGCAGATTAGAGTTTTATGCCAGACTGAATCATTGTGTAATCAAAAGAAGAAAAAAAAAATAAAAAGAAAAAAGAGCACACACAAAATATTCCCAAGGAATAGACACCTGCCTCCAAATACATACTTTACAGTACTATTAAAGTCAACATGAAAATACTCATCTGATTCCAAGCACATATGAGATTTGCTGCCAACAGAAACTTGAAATTTCTTACAATCTCTCTGAAAGAAAACTTTTTGTCATGCAGTAGAAGTTGGGAAGTTTTCATATGTGCTACAAGGGCCATATGCATTACAGCCAGGCAAACATTACTAATTCTTAAAATGTGGAACCACAAAATACTTCTAAGAGAAGGAAAAAACAAAAACAAAAAAAGTGCACCACTCTTCAGTCCCTTCTTTCCATCTCATAGAGCAGTTTGCAAATAAGGAAAAGTTCCTGAGCTGAGACATGAGATTTTTCAGATGTGTCTCAACAGCATTTCCCCCCTCCCCGAAACATCGAAATCTATACAGCAGATTCTTACCCAGTGATACCAGATGTTACATAGTCCTTCCCTAGGTAGTTATAACCATGGCGAATAAGATCTTCACACACATCCTTAACTTTACTGCCTCCAAAAGCTGTTCCATAGTGAAATCTGCCATCGAGGACCCCAGCCTTTCCAGCCAGGAGTTCAATTAACTTTCCTACCTATGCAAAGAGAAGCAGAGTTAACAGCCTGCTTGCTACTACGGGCACATTGCTGGTTTAGTCACAGCAAAAGTTAGCCAGGCAAAGGGTCTGAGATGGGGGCCTGGGTTATTGCGTGCAATGGGAGGAGAGGAAGAAGCTCAAGAACAGGGACGCTTCTCCCTGTTCACATCCCCTGTGTGAAGGGGTGAAAACCAGACACATTGCAGGGTCTGGGAACACCTTTAAGATCTAGAGTCAAGCAGCTTCATTTTTTCCAGTTGTCTGGAAAATGAGCAGGATCCAGTGTGGCCGTCTCCTCTAGGAAACGGCCTCAGAGATTGACGTGCTACAGTCCAGCAGGGGGAACAGGGAGGAAGAAGCTAACAAAGAAAAAAAAAGATCAGAGGCTGTACGAAATAATCAGTGGAAGTCCCATATAAAGGCCAGGCTGTGATGTGTTTAGTGTGACCCTGCAGCACAGGTGCAAGACTTGCACCCAGTTCCAGTGAGGCGTGTGTAATGTTAAGAAGTTACATAGGTCTAGAACTATTCTTGAAACTCCTCTCCAACCTTCATCTTACAGTCTCCTCCAGCTGGCTTAGTAGGCATAAGCAACAGGGAAGAAAGAGGGAAAGCAAGAAATTTTCAAACAGAAAGGGTACAAGTGAGGTATTCAGTTGTTTTCCTATTGGCTTGATACACAACAAAAACAGAACAAGGCACAAACAGCCCGCATCCCTACTCCTTTTGCAGTAGGATGTTTCAAAACATGCAAAACAGAGGGCTGAATACTCACAGTGCAGCAAGCGTGTGGTATGATGACTAGAGAATATTCTCAGTGCAACTGTCTTTCAAACTTTTTTTGTTTCTTCTGGCTAATCTGCTTCACTTTCCCTATCGGGGGACACTGTCTCTAATCATAACATAACCACTAACCGTCATACGCGATGGGAAGCCATGAGGGTTCATTATGATATCTGGACAGATTCCTGTATCGCAAAACGGCATGTCCTCCTGAGGAACAATCAGTCCACACACCCCTGCAGAAGAGAAAACATTTCAATTCACAAACAGCAAACCACCAGCAGGGCTGACGCTCATCACCAGATTTTCTTTAGTGTTTTCCTCCTCCTCTCTTTCTCATGGATCACTTTTTACCCAGATTCATTACCATGACCAGTGCTCACAACCTGCAGGCTAGAAGACAGCCCTTGTGACAAGACGCAAAATTAGCATACCCTTACATAATGAATGCTCCCAGTGATTTGTGAGTTAGCAAATTAGGGAAGAAAGCCTTAGATATAGTTTTCAGAGGCAACCAGAAACTTCTGACTAGTCAGACTGGAACATCTCAAGCGAGATCTGTTTTTAAAGCTGATGCTATAATTTCCTGAAAAAAAAAAGAAGAAATCAGGCCTCTTAGAGTATCTCTTCAGACATACAAAATTATTATTGATTAAAAATTTGTTTATCATATGTATCTTGGCTAAATACTGTGAATAAAACCAAATCAAGTCAGGACTTTGACAGGGGCTGAGAGGAGGTAAGTAAGGGAAAATAAAAACAAAGATTTTTCAGGTAGCATTCATTTGCTGAGCAAGGATTGCTCTCGATGAATTACAAACTATAATGCACTCCTTAGACTGCTTATATTTTGTCAGTCCATGAACACAAACTGTATCTTCAAAAGTTTTGGAAGTTATTTTTTTTTTTAGTCTCCATCAGTATTGGATGTAAAACAAACAAAACCACCCAAATTCTAAAACTATTTAGGACAGATTAAACAGAAACATGAAAACTCTTTTAAATGAGTTTATCATACATTTAAAAATTTTCCTTTCAACCCTTACAACTGCATCTACAGTAATTCTGCAAGTCCAGATACTGCAGCTATAAATGACCAAGAGATCTAACATTCGAATTCAGGTGCTAAAACGCAGCTGCTTAAGCCCATACTCCTTTGAACCAAAGCTACTGTTTCAGTTGGACAATTTCTTCCAGAAACCCTTAGAGCTGAAAAAGCCTGCAACCTATTTGAGATCAGCCTGCTGCAACTGCCAGAGCACACTTTGGGAACAGTTCTGTAGTGGAGGGGGCTCCTGGAAGACTGAGGGTGCTGGTTACATCCCTAAAAAGGCATCCCCTGACCAGCCAGTTCACAGGGGGATATTGGCGTCTGCTCAGGAGGGAGCTCCTCTTCCACTGTCCAAGCAAGACAGGGATAGGTGTATGGGACAGTAGTTAATAGAATAAGAATGGTAAGTATGGGGGGAGGGAGCAGAAAAAAAAAAAGGATTGGAACGTCTAGGGCAAGGAGGGGGTTGCTATATTTAGTTTTTAAACCTATTGAAACTAATTTTCATTGTTCTGTTATGATAAATCAATAACATCCTTCTACCCTCCCCACCAAGCAGCAATCATTTGCTGAAAATGAAAAAAAATCTCAACCCATTATCTCGTGCGCACAGCTTTTTTATCCTAAAATTGTATACATAAATATTTTATTATATATGTATTATGGCATGCACATTCTGCCTTATTCGCATTTACTTCTAAGAAAGCATTAGGCTGCATCTGGACTTCATGGCACCTGTATGCCAAAAATTAAATCTTAGCTAACTTAAAATTACTTTAGGCTCTGAAAACCTTTTATATGCCAAGCCGGTTCCCATAGCAGACAGCCACTGTGTTGTTTGTTTTGTGTGAAAGTGAATGATAAAAGATCCATGAAATCGACACAGAAAGGCAGAACAGCAGAAAGAACTGAGGGCTCTCCATCATAGCGGCTTCTACCCTCCGCTGACTTGTATAACAATGGGACCTACACACCCAACTGCAGATCTAACACAGCTGTGCATTTCATTAGATGAAGAGCACTAGTGACACAAGTAAATAATTAACTTATTCTGGTCCGCTGACTGTGGTTATGAGACCAGTTATAGCTGACAGATTTTAATACAAGTTAACACAAAGAGAGCATAATGAGCTTAGAAGTTAAAAACAAAATATTTAGACAGAATCCAGCAATGTGAAGCTCACTAGGCCGTTTATAAAGTTTCTATTTTACAGAGCGGGGGGGCAGGGGGGGAAGAAAAGTGAAAAAAGAGAAAGCTATAAAACCTCAATTCTAAGCTTCTGTATTTTAAGAAGTTGCTGAGTTTATAACAGATCTATAGCATGTCCACGTGTATTTAGAGAACAGGACAGACCAATGTTTAAAGCAAGTTCATTCTTTCTTATAAAAAAACTGTTTAAAAAGCTGAAAGACACCTTTCCTGCATACAACACTACTTCTAAAAGCAAGTAACTGCAATTCATTTAAAAATGTAAGCTTGATTTCACTTTGCAGTCACTTGCCTTGAGAAGCTCTCTGAGAGACTAATGCTTGCAGGTCTGCACTGTAAGCTTCTGAATTTGCTCCTCTTCTTCATCCTAGATTGCTGAGCCAAGGCTGGCAGCAGGGCAGTAAAAGGCAAGCCTAGCTGTTCCGCATTGCTGAGCAGCTGCGAAAAAGTGGTCAAGTGAATTAATCCATGTAAGTGGAATTATCACTTGCAACTGGTTAATAAAACAGTAAAGGAGAAAAGAAGAGGCTGGATTTAAGACAGCCTCAAGCTCCATATGTTGCTCTGTCCAAGTATGAACTGCATTTCACAACTGAGCTGCCCAACTACTCTCCATAAAATATTCATAAATAAGACATGCTCCAACTAGTAAGTAACTTTGCTCTGGCTCTTACTACAAGTTTTTAAGATTTCCTAATAGTTACTGATTAACATTATCATGTGAAAATTGTTCCCTAGCATTCAGACAAGACAAAATAATTTGGTTTCATTCACTTCCCTTCCCCTCACAATTTTTATATCCTTCATCTGAAATTTAGCAATACAATTTCAAACTAAATGCTATACTGTGATGGGCCTGAATCTGCTCTCACCTATACACTCTGGAGGTCTCATCTAGGACCAGAATCAAACATTAACAACCAGAAAATGCTGCAATTGTTTTTCCAGATGAAACAAAAAACAAATTTTTTTTTAATATGTGAACTAACAAGAGAGTTGTATGTTTGAACAAGAAAGCATCCAGCAGCTTGCTACATCTCATTTCTTTTCAACTGAAAACCAAACTGAATTCTAGAAAAAACTTTGTGTATCGATTTTATAATGTCACTTTAGAGGGAAAATTAGTGAAAATACGAACAATTTCTTTTAAGATAGATATCCCTCTCAAAAAAACCCCAAACCACTGGATCAATAAGCACGGCAGTTTACTGCAAGGATAACAGTTTAAATTAGAATAAACTGAAATCAGATGTCCACAGCAGTTTAACATGCAAGTATAAAACAGCCATGGGCAGAGTTTTTCAATGCTATTGTATGCCAGGCAATAAATGACAGCCCTTTGCCTATGCATGATGGCCCCATCCTCACACACGCTATCAGCATCAATCCCGGCAGCATCTCAACACCCACGGACCTCCCTCCACAAGGCCCAGACAGAGCATAAGGATCTCCCCACCCCTGCACGTTTGTCCTTTAAGAGTTTCTTTTTCTAGTCAGGAGAATTCCAGGTTTCCAGAGTTTCTATCTTTTACGTGGTTGCTTTCAGTTTGCTGACAAACACGAACATACACAGACTTGCAAAACAGCAGCTCAGCGCAGAGGGGGAAGGGGGGCGGCAGGGAGGGAGCAGGGACAAAACACAACAGTATGGGAAAGTTTTTCACCGGCTACGATAAGATGCCTTCTATACACACACGCCAAATGAAAAAAAAAAAATCATCAAATAAGTCAAAACAACCTAAAATAGAAACCTAATTGCTATCAGCAGGAGGGACATTAGAGACCAAAGGAGACTAAGTGAATAGAAGCAGCAGTAATACCAGTTTCTATCAGCAAGATAAAAAGAAGCGCATTACTAAATGTGCTTGTTTACTTATTCTAATGATACGGTGGTAAAAGAGCTAAAACTAACTTGAAAGGCACCTATTTTAGATTTACCACATTTGCCAGAATTTGAAAACACTCCTCTGAGCAGTAAGACTACGTCACGTAATTAAGATGAGACATAATATATGACGCTATAACACAGCGCCATATATCGTGGACCAGTGACAGAGATTTGCAAAAATTAGTAAGGTTAAACAAAAATGTACGTCTGCTTCAAAACTCTCTAATTACATACTGTGTTGGCTAACTAAGCATAAAACAAGTCCAGAAGAAAAAAAGTGCTGCATCACATAAGCTTTGTTCAATATTGAATCATTCACTGATCTATCATATCACTTGCTACATCCCATTTGACATAACAGGTAAAGAACAGAATTAAAATTAACAGATAAATAATGCATAAGTAAACTTGATTAGTTTTCTTATTAAAAACATCACTCTAAATGAGAGGAGGTGCTAGAAGACAATACAGTTTGTACACTGCTTTCCCATGAGCTGCTGAATGGTCTGATGTGATAAATTTGCATAGTCTGAAGCACACAAAGAGCTGATTAATTGAAACCCTTACAATGCTCCTGGAAGCAGCTATTGTAAAACAATAACCATAGGAACTTTACAAAATACACATGGCTGAATGAGTCAAGAGCTTAATAAAATGTGTGTTCAGGATACACTATTTGGAAACAGAATTACAGATTTTTATTCTGTGCCATAAAATGCTAAATCACCCTAATTTCAGAGGTTCAGTTGAGGATTTACTGAAAAGGTCAGAAGGTTACCTGTTTGCTGCCTGAGATAAAAAATGCCGTAATTTTCTTCTTAAGACAGCAAGCTAAGCAGCAGTTTTGTTAAAAATAAATAGAAAAAACGGTATGAAAAGTTTTAATGGCATTCTGACATCTCATTTTCTCATATTCAGCTTCTGAAGATAAAAATAAGGTAAGAAATTCCTACCTTTCCTGATGCCTAATAACTACTAATCATCCCACATTCCTGCAGTTGGTAAGAGCAAATTCTTTCTACTGCCACTTCAACCATCTAATTCCTATAAACCCACTGATGTTTTATTAGAGATAAAGTTACGTCTGACTTGTAACATGGGGGGAAAGACACAAGTAGCCACTCAAAACTAACATCTCACTTCACGTGTTCTGCTTACATGTACTGCACAAGTGTGCATTAAAAGGCGAACGGTAAGTTGTTCTCAACAACTATGAAGTTAGGCAAGCAGAAGGCAGATGCTCAAACTAGTAAAAATTTTAAAAAGCAAGCAAGGTCAGACTTTGGTAGATAAGCCATATTGTCATGACGTTTATGCAGTTGACAATGCTGTGAATGGATTTTGTTTTGACACCAAAGAACATGGTTCATTTAGGAAAACAAAGACCATCTTTCATGAATTTAAACTCGCTTCCTTGTCTTTAGCGTTGTTTAAGTGCAGATACTTCAGAAAGGTTTAATCCTTTATCTTAGATCTTCAGCTATTAAAAAGCTTCTGTTTGCCAGTTCAAACAATCTCTTGCTTAAATACAGTTTTTCCACTCCTCAGGAATACTGTTCAGTATTGCTGCTTAGTTCTGTGATCTACAGGACCTTTGTTGGAGGTGTTAATCCTTTTTCACATGAGAGACTGAGAAATGTTCTTTCAGAGAAGTGATATATTGCTTTTTTTCACATCAAAGGAGCCCAACTTTTTCCTCATTGTGGCTTGTAGCAAAGCAAGAGGAAATCTGGAAATATAATAATTTAGCTTGTATGGAACTCAGATGAAGCTTCTTTAGTTTAACAATCCTTTAGCCTTCTGCGCTTTGAAAAGTGACTTTGCCTGAAGAATGCCAGATTAAAAAACAAAATAATTAACCAAAAACTTTCTTTATCCTTCTGGAAAAAATATGATGCAATATAGTTAAAACAAAGTCCTACAGTGCAAGATAAGTCCTCCCTGGTAGGTATGTGTTTTTTTTGTGAGACATTAGAAGCTTAAGAGCTTAATAGACTAAAGCAACAGTCCCACTCACAAAGATCTTACTGCAACATCCAGTTTGAAGCTGAATATTGAGATTGATCAAAATATTTGCTGCTGCGTTTCCCAACACCACGTGATGGCCTCATTCGGGTTTTTCTCCTCCTCATACGCTTCTTTCTTGACAGGTCTTGAAGGATAGGCTAGCTTTTACAGGCAGTTTGCAAGAAGTGTACTTAAAACACGGACTTGAATGACAAGAGGGTGTACTGGACAGGCCAGAGTGGTGACTTTTGCCAATACCGTGTTGACATGTGAGAGGACACAAAGAAGGCAGCAAAGACATACTTGGTGGCATAGATCTACATTATTATAGAGTCTACAAAATCTACCTACATATTTAACGAAAGACTCTTCTGTAACAGAAGGTTAAAGCTTGTTTGTGAGATTTGATCTGTCATATCCCAGGCACTTTCCAATTCTGTTACTCTGCTTTCTGCCTCAGCAACAAAGTATAACTTCGGAATACAGGAAAAAGCCCATGAAAAAAACTTGAGAAATGAAGTTTGTGCAATTTCTTATTTTGCACGTAATTAATTATTTTAGAACTACTACTATAATTCCGTGAAATCAAATCTCATCTTCACACATTCCTTCTAGAAAATAAAACTACTTCACAGAAAAGATCAACAACAAAAAAGGAGAGGAACAGCCTCTCTCTCCTCACTGAACCAAGGTACTTGTTAGTTTAAATTAATCATAGGTTTAAATGGCCCTATGATTGGCTTAAAGCTAACGTCCACAACTTAAACTTGAACTGATAATCGCCTGCATTCAGATGAAGATGAGAGAACAAATTCAGGGCTAATTAAAAATCCTCTCAATGGAAAATGTTGAACCGTTAGTATTACAATTTCTGTTTCAAAATTGTCTATATTCCTCTGTTATGACTAATCCTTCCCCGATTTGATGTCAGAGAAGGATAACGCTAGCTGTATTTTTAAGCAGGAGATTTTCCCTTTCCTTTTCATGCCTTTTTTTCAGTTCTATCATTGCCTGTAATCTAACATTAATGTCAGTATCTGCTTCTTCACTGTATATTGAAGCTGCAGAACAGTAAACTACACAGTTCTTGTCAGTATTTTTTTTCTTGGTATCTAACACATGTATTTTCTCCACTAAGCACATTTCTCCTTTCTCCCATTTATTCTAAAATTTTTTGCCAAAATATACTACAAGCCAGTGAACTGAGAGGTCTACTACTAGGAAGACTATGTATCTTAGAAGAATGTAATAATTTAGAACATGATCACTGCCCCAATCACAAGAGATTACTACAGACTACAAGCTATCAAGTTACTACTACTAACAAGCTACCAAGCTAACAAGCACATGCCTGCCAACTCTGTAACACAATTGTTGCAATGTTCTGACGCTCTCTCCAAAACTAAGCTGAAAGGGACATTTGCTATTCTGAATAAATTGATGGTTTTGGCCTATTATTATTATAGGTCTAAAGCACAGATAGATGGGGGATCAGTCATCCTAACCTGATGCAATGCCAGGCGTAATTATGGGCACCCTCAAAGCTCCCTACAGTATTTAGGATGTTGTTTTTCATTATCATGGGATTTCCATTTTACACTGGAAAAAAAAAAATTACTAACTTTCTACAGCTTTTGGGATATTAAAGAAAATTCCACCAGATTCCAATACAGTGTGTTAGTTGTTTCTGCATTTGACCACGAATATCAGGTTTGATAAGTAGCAAAAGTACTCGTGAGACGTCTGTGCTTCAAGACATCTAAAATGAGCTTGCTCTAGACTGTGAGATGCCTTATGTGCATTTAGTAGCATGCTAAGGCCATATTGCAGCCTGCCTGATAGAATTCTGTTTCCTTCTGTCATTCTTCCACCTTTTGTCCTCCGTCTGTTCTAGATTTGTGGAGCACCCTTTTTCTTGATTTTTGGAGAAATATGAAAATCAGTTGCATTTAAATCTTGTTCAACTAGGTGAACACCAATAGCCCAAGCTAGGAGAAAAAACTTCCCTGATTAAATTTTTCATGCGAATGACCATATTTATCACGATTAACTGAGCAGCTTCTTTAATACAATTTGTAGGCTGAAAGGGATGCTTTCAGGGCGCTCCTCCTAACAAAAAGCACTCTCTTCTATGTGTCTTCTGACAAAAGAGAACACTGCTCACGAAAGGCCAGTTTGTTTGCAAGACAATGTCCACTAGCAAATATCATTGATTTGATGTATTACTGCAAAGTCCATTGACTACAACTAGTTTTAAGTATTAATGTTTTAAATCTAAGCAGCATCCTCTATTATTTCCTCAGTTCCCTCTCTCTGCCTTCCACATAGACCTAGCAGATACTTGTGTTACCACTGTAAGAGGCTGGTGTTCTTTCTAAACTCCATCTGGTTCCAGCTCCTCAGAAATCAAAGCAATAAAATAAGCATTTTTTTCTTCCAGTAGTTATTAAGACAGTGTCATATTTGCCCAGTAACAGGAGAGGAGTGTATGTGCTGCAATGGAAGGGATTTGGTAATATCAACCTCTTTGCTGACCCAATACATCTGACGAGATCAAGCAATCTTCTCAAACCAAAATAAGACCTAAAAATGTAACAAGATTATAACATTCAGGTAACAGGTTTAGCACAGCCTATACAGTAAGGCAGAAGGTCATGCTGAAAGTACTAAAAAAACAAATCAAGATTTTTCAAGTGTACAGATAGATGAAAACATGTCAAAACCTGTCCCAATTTGAGATCAATGGGATCAAAACATGCTTTTAAGTCAGTTGGTTAGAAATGTTTTCAGTCACTTTCTTAACACCTGTCCCACACTGCCCAGCCCTTTGAGATTCAGAGAGGATGTTCTGAGTCCCCTTTTTTTTGCCATTAAGGTCAAAGGGAGTCCACCGCTTTTTCCAACAGATATGGAAACAGGCTTCTGATTTTCACCTTACCATTAACACTAGACAGCTACATGCCACCAAGCAGTTTTCTAGTAGGTACCCGTTTTCAACTCTGTTTGAAGATCCAGAGGTGCCCCAGATCATGTTCCAGATGTACTTTTAAAAACTTTTTCCCCTTCTTTTCAGTCTCTGCTGGTGTACTCTTAGTTGCATTCCTGATTTGCTTCCTTTTCACACCATGGCTCTGAGCTATCCATCTGTAGTCTTGTTTTTAGAGCAGTATGTCTGCACAGAGGACTTGCAAATATACCATTCCATCTCTCATCTTTTCTGTTCATTTCCTCCAATCTCTTTCGATAACCTATTAACAAATCTATCACTTAAAATCAAATTCATACTTGGGGTGAAAAAACCCCCACCAACCAAAACTCAAAACTCTGTTCTTGTTTAAAATAGGCAACTACTGTATTTTTCAGGTTCATAAGTCAACAGAGAGTTGTGTTTGCCAATTCTTCTCCTCAGTTCCAGAAACATCATTACTAAATTAGGTGAACTTAAACAAAAAAAAGGGATATGGTCTTCTACCACTGCATTCATAAAAGATCTGAAGCATTTACGGAGCATGCATGATAATATTACGTAAGTATAGTAGGCTTATGTATGTATAGTAGGCATACTCGAATATGTAGCTTACCTTTCTGCCCATGACGACTGCTAAATTTATCTCCAATTTCTGGACGTCTAGTTTGCCTCAACAACATTTTGATCAAGAAAGCATCCTCTGCATTTGACGAAATCATGACTTTTTCAATATAAGAATCAGTTGCACCTTTGTAGCTAGTACAAGAAGACAAAACATGAGTTTTACGTCTATGAACCAAACACAAGTTACAAACAGGTATCTGTGCATTGGTAATCTTCTGGCTGAACTATATTCTTCATGGAACTTATATGTGGGAGGTCAATGGAGCAAAGATTATATGTATATGAAGTTCCAGATTAGGGTATGTTTCGGGGGAAAAAAAAAAAAGGCTTAAGAGATACAATAGAAACAAAGGGAGAATTAAGCTGAACTTCTAAAGAACAAGGTATAGTTTTTTTTGTTGCTTGGGCTCTTCTTGACAGGAAAAGAGCTTCCTAGTATATTGCAAATTTCTGGATCTTCAGTTAAACAAACAAAAGCCTAATAGACAGTTATAGTTGAAGAAAGGAGTTTAAGGCACATACCATGATAATTTAAGAACAAAATTAAGGCATAATATCCTGACTGAAACTATGCATCAGGTGCAGGTGTGGAAATGAACCAAGGGCAGAACACAGTATGAAGTACAGAAAGAGATGTCCATTTTCTCTAGAAGCCAGTATGGAGGAGATGTGCCCCCTCACTAAGTACACTCGTGTTCTCTACCTTCCCACTCATCCTGCTTTTCTCCTGTTTCTCCATCACTTTATCCATGAGTGACTCCTCTCCCCTCTACCACTGTCTTAGCTTTCTCCTCAGATTCTCCTGGGAACCTACTCAGTGATTCCTCTCTATACATACATCTTCAGAAGGATTCCTCCTACTCTTTGCAATTCCAGCCTTTCAGGTGTCAGAATCTAACTCATCAGCGATTAAGCAGCTAGGCACTTCTAAAAACAACCTAGGATCTGAAAAATCCTGTGAAAAATCAAGACCTGGAGAACTAGGTCTAATTTGCAGAGGGAAGTTTATTCCTTTGACTTTTCTAGAATTGAATATTTTCTCAGATACCTTTCCTCCATCTACCTTCCCCAACTATAAAGTTATGATGCAACTTACGTTACTGGCACATCTTTGTACTGTGGCTGCTGAGGCACGCTACTCCCTTCCAGAGGTGTCTGGGTCACAGTTGGCATAGATTTGTTCACAAGGACTTGCTTATTTTCTACTTTTTCACCTACAAAGAACAAGAAAAAAAAGTATTATGAAAACAATAAAAGCTATCTGTGTTAGAAATACATTTTAAGCTTTAAAAAAAGGTAAGCTGGAAGACAAACTGGGAGGAACATGTCCAGGAAGTATATCATGTTATTTTTGTAAATACTGCATGGTAAGGGAATCATTAAACTAGCTTTTTTTTGGTAAACAAAATGGAACAGCTTGTATGCTGGGTGCATTATGAGAATAGCTAACATATCCTGAGTCTAAAGAATACACAAAAGCATCTGAAGTAATCTGCCATGAGTATAGAGAAAATTAACAAGCAACACTGTAACTGACAAATTTTAGAAATTCACACCTAAATTCGGGACACACATTCACTTCCACAATGAGTTGTGCGTGCTACTTTCAGCCTCTCCTTGCTATTAGTTTTTCCTATTGCTTCTGATCTCATACATCAGCTATTTTCCCTCCATTCCGTTATCCTTCCCTTCACACAGAAAATCAGACCAGCAGCATGCCCAACAATACTAATGCACATCAAGTACATGCCTCCCACCTCCTCCACAAAATTACACTGAACTTCAGCCTATGTCTCTTTTGTGTCCATATGAACTATTTCAAAGAGGTTTTTACCTAAACACCGGGAACAGCCTCAGTGTGGAGTCCTCCCCAGTCCTATCTATCCTAGTACTTCAGAAGATTCTTGCTCTTTTTTTTGAAATTAACTTCGAAAGCTCCATTGTGATGTGTTGAAGAGCAAAAGTGACCCAATTGTGTTGCTATAATGGAATAACATTTAGTGCCTTTTACAGGACCTTTCTTATTAGATCTTAGCGGATCTATTAAGCTGTTTCGTGACTGAAGGATGACAATAAGGGAAGATTCTTTCTCAAATTTATTACCATTGGGAAGTTATACACCTATCCTCATAACTAAGTGTAGTTGTATTTATTTTCTTATCTCTCTCCAAATAAATTTCTGAAGTGCTAAAACCACTAGGTTTTACTTCCTCAAACAACTGCATTAACTGACAGCATGCTAGGAAGATTTGACATACGAAATCAAAGTAATAAGGAATCTGTCCTTAAAAACCAACAATGACAGAACACATGAGACACAAACAGTAAAAAAACTACAGTATTAAAAGTTTGCCAGTTTGGAGATATAAGAAGCATACAAGTTCTAATGCTTCAACAGATTCACGCTGTTAAAGACTCACTGAAACATAAAGCTCCATTTCCTCATGCACAAAAAAAACCCTGACTGGTACCACACTGCTTTCAGAAATTAACATTTTTTAATTTTCCATTGAAATACTGCCACCTTCAAGAAAAGAAAAAAATACACTAAGCATAAAACAAGGTGCACAAGAAATATTAACAGAACATTAATTTCTACTTCAGATTATGAACATACCATGACTTAAATCCAGAGAAGTTGTGGATGCCCCATCCCTGGGAGTGCTCAAGGCCAGGTTGGATGAGGCTCTGAGCAACCTGGTGTGGTGGAAATTGTCCCTACCCATGGCAGGGGGGTTGAAACCAGATGATCTTCGAGGTCCCTTCCAACCCTAACCGTTCTATGATTCTATGATTAAACATGTAGCTTGACATACCTGGAGAGCAGATACCATCAGCATCTAAAATTTCATGGCGCCAGATTGGTTTACGGGTAGCTGCATCCAACATCGGACCCATAACTTTATCAAATGTCTGGTTTGTGTAACGCTTCAGTGTACACTTGGCATTCTTATATACAAGACACCTTCCGAAACCTAAAATGTAACACAAACTCGTCTGCCTAGGAGTTCAAAGATTCTTCACAACACATTATCAGAATAAAATAAGAATGCTGATCCACTTGATGAGCTACCAAACATAAAATATTTTTTTATTGGTTAGATTATTCACTGTCTTGAATATGCCTAACATTGTACACGGATACTTAGTAGCTCACAATTTAAAAATCAGATCATGCATGCTACTTTTTTCAGACATTGGACTACGGTTCAATTCTGAAGTTGTGCTAATCCCCTTCTATATCTCTGCGCGCACACATCATTTCTCTTACCTTTGGTGGTTCAGAGAGACATAACATAGAAGAGACTGTCACAGGACAAGAACAGCACTTCTTCCTTTCGGGAGTTCTAACAAACCTGAACTTTTACTCATGTTTGTGGTTGACACAAGCTAGCCTACTATGAAAGTACTGATTGAATATTTCATATAATCACCCCATTACTCACTCTTCTCCCAGCTGAAAGAATTCTGAATTACAAATATCGTTATAAAATAGATTTGATTTGGGTTTTAGATGAGAAAAGTAGCATATCTGGAATTTTTCTCCAAGTACAGCAACTAGTCACAATACTAAACACTTGCATCTCATTTAGAATTACAGACAGCCAAGAGCAAGGCTTTCTAATAATCCTACGTTATTTTAGTTCATTTGAAAGATGGTTGTGGTCACATACAGTATATCTGTATCTTTAGATTACGTCAAGTAACTCCTGACAAGCACCACAGCTCCCCCTGTAAATGTTACCAGCCTACCAGAAAAGAAAACATTCAGTTTTAAATCATGCCTGTTGTTGTTTTAGAAAAGGAGGCATAAATTAAATGCGGCAGACATTAATGCCAAGATACATGTCTAGGAATACTATTATTGCTGCCTAGCAACTAGGAGGAAGGGAGTGTGGGGGGAATAAAGTCATGGAAGGATCTGATTTTGGCCACCCGAAACCAAAACCAATTTCATCACACTGCACTATGTCTTCTCTCAAGGGAATTTATTTAGAAAAGAGAGAGAAAAGAGACTAAGTTTTCAGGCAACTCTCCTCCGACCGCCAGCAGCATTAACATAAAATGCTGAAGAATTGCAGTGAGACAGGCCACAGCAGCACAAACATAAGTTTCACTTAGTTACTTTCTACTTGGTGCTTATTCACTTTTATTTAAAACACACTGCGCTTCATAGATTTTTTTTTTTTTTTTTAAGGAAGTGAGTCATTAGTTTATGTCTGATAAACACTACATCATTTTGCTCTAGACAATGCTATTATTTTCCCTCAGAAAGCAGGCAATACTGCTATTGCTCCCTCAGAGTATCAAGTTCACAATGACAAAAATTGCCACGTGTTCCATTCCTTTCCCAAACACATTCAGAAGTCTAATTTCATCTATTGCTTTCATTTCTGGTGAAAATGATGAGACCCCTCTGCTAGTAATGAACAAAGGTTCAGGTAACCATCCAAAAAGCAAGTGCAACAGAACAAATTATCAAATACCTTACATTTTTGTAAACTAAGTATTTTCAAAAAGGGACCGTTTATGCTTTTTTATTTGAGGTCAAAAGTTACTCATTTTTTCTTATAATATCCATACTCAGAAGTTTATTCGCACGTTGGCAACTTGACCGCACTATTGCAAGCATGGAATCATAATTGCTATTCATGCAGAAAACAAACAAAAGCATTCAAAGCAGTTTTGGAATTCGACTTCTTAATTGGAGATGTACTGCTCATAACTGCAATAGAAGTTATTACAGAACAACACCATAAGACAATACGTTTATTAAAACATGTATTAGAACACACAGGAAAGAATTGATGGTTCTTACCTCTGTCCAAAGAGGCCTTGTTTAAGACAAGGGCATCTTCAATATCATAACCACTGTAGCTCATCACAGCAACTGTGGCGTTCTGTCCAGCAGGCAGTTTCTCAAAATCTATCAGTTCAATTGTTTTTGTTTTTACCATTGGCTTTTGCGGATAGGCTAGAAGATACATAAGAGTATCTATCCTGTTTCTTTGATTGTATCCAATAGTACCTGTATGTAAAAGAAAAACAAAAGTGTTTGAACATTAGCAAGTTTCCTAGAAAGGTTTTGGCTAAAAAATTACCAAAATGCAAATGAACTAAAAACCACAAACTGAGGAATTTAAATAGAAATTTTTCAACAAAAGAAGGAGGAAAAAAAAACAACGTAAAAGAGAACAAACCAAAACAACTTTACATTATTATATTTAAATAAAGATGTAAGTGGCTTCTTAACTTAAGCTTCCAGAAAGAATTCTTTATTTTTTTCTTAAACAGGAAAAACCTAAGCATCAAGACAAAAAGATCAACAAAAGAAATCAAAATCAAGTCCTACATGACTGAAAGCAAATAAGATTTCTTTTTTAATCATGACACTGAATAATAGTTCAAGTATGAAGTTGTTTTTTTTTCAGAGAGTTGAACTTGTGTTCCATAGACCTGATCCAAAATTTCATGAGAATCAATAGAAAGACTCCCATTGAGTTCAAGAGGAACTGTGGATCAAGCTTTGTGTCTTCCACATCATATTTCCTTCCTTTTTCTGGGCAATAATTAGTTCAACAGCAGCCTGTGTTAGAGTGTCACAAAGCATGAACAAAGCATACAGTTAGCAGCAGCCAAGACTGATTTACTTTCTGAAATTAGAGGTGTCATTGCTAGAAAGACTACAGTAGAAATTCACTCACAATATATTTGTCTTTTTACATGAAATTAATTTTAAATTTATGGTTCAGAATTCAATCCTTTGTATAGACCTCCCAGCTTGAGACTGAAATTTTTGGCCCTGTCCCATCAGACTGCCAAAGTGTCTTCTGAAATCTGAGGAAAAAATAATTAACACCCAGCAGGGAAACATAAACTGTTGTATAGCTGAACAAAAGTTAAGGCAATCGTATGTTATTAGAGTTTGCTGTACCAGGACTATGCTATGTCTCTAAGCAATTAAGAAATTATAGTCTGAAAAGTTTGTTTTAGAGTTTTAAGTACTAAATATTCTGCAGTACTTGTACTTAGGAGGTAAGCCTTTCAAAACCTTTCCATATTCTCCTGCAATTTCAGAGGCTGGTTCCTTTCAAGGAAAGGTCAAAGCAGTCAGTGTGTAATGAAGTCTTCACATAGCTAGAATATAGCACAGCTGAACACAAATCTGCTCTTAGGGGAGGCCAGCTTCATGTTTTATAAGCAACTACTTGCAATTTCCAAATGCCTGCATTTAAATAAAATGTCTAGAAAATCAAATATCTAAAATCAGGCAGCATCAAGGGCAGTTCCAAAGACCTACCCTGTCCATGGCACCAAGCTCGCTCCTAAACCGCCACAGGTCTACACTTCCCAAGGACGAGAACAGGGAGACAGCTCAATAGATACTGTCTGAAAATAGACTGTTATGACCTGCTCTTGCACACCTGGGCTTCCCTTGGTTCTAGAAAATGGATTTGAAGCCACGGGCATTTTCAAACAGCGAGGAAGATTTGGTGGAGCTGACACTTTATTTGTCTCTTGCTTTTGGGCAGTTGCTTTCCTCTCTTTTTGTTGGAGAAGGAAATTAATCATCCTTGAGCAGTATTTTCTGTCTCCAGTAAGAAGCAACCTGGTAGGGCCTGGATTCGTCAACACTGAAGACTCCTCCTGTCCCCTTTTGCAAGGCCCACCATCTGAAGGCCCTATTACTTCTGATATTCCCTTAGCCTAAGTATTAAACATTGTTTTCATTGTACTTTGATAAATAAATTGGTTTTCCCACTATACAGCTAGGAAAATCTACTTCCAAATTAAAAATTTAAGAGGTTTAGACCATTTTTTTCCCTCTGCACCTAGAATGACTAATCTGTGTGCTTTCAGGATAGGTTTTCTGCTGTAGACCTCATCTGAAAAGTTTCATGGATAGGTATATTTTTCTGTTGTTGAGAGAAATCTGCTGTTGCGTATGCCACACCAACTTTCACTTTTAAAATGCTTGCAATTTTTTTCTCCTCTGAGAAGCTTATATGCAGTACCTGCTACAGCTCACTAGCTAGAGACAGTAAGATGGGATGAAGTCTAGAGCACCTGATACTGTCCTTTATACTTCAGTAACAATCTGTTGAAATCCCCTACAGAGCAAAGATTACAGATGACACTTTTACCTATTTTAGGTAATGCAAATTACTTCTCTCAGATGCTTCACGTATTCCAAAACTGGTATTTTTATCAGAGGTTCAGATAAACCTAATAGAACTGTTACTGTTCGTATCACACCAGGAGCCATGAGTGACTGACATTACTGGTATTTTGAGCTTCAATAATAAGCTCTATTCGGGCAATTCTTCAGGAGTTGAATGCTGTATCATATAAAATGGAAAACATAAACATATATATCAGTGATGGATATCCTAGTAGGAAAGAAACTGGCTAGAGAGTGATTGAAGAGCACAAGCGAAATAAATTAGCCAAAAAGCATGCCATACATCAGCACTATTTGTCTTAATTGCTATGATTTAAAGGTTATACAAATAATGCCTTCTCTAGACTGGTCTAACAAACCACAGCCTTAAACCACAATCTGCTTATTTAAAATTAAGAAGCAGTTCTCTTCTTTTGAGGACTGGTGTGTTGGGACGAGATGTCTATGGGGGCGTTGAAATGAAGGAAGTCACTAGTTTTATTTCTGTTTTCTCTCTGAAAGAACAGAGCCCTTGTCTGCTTCAGCCAAACAGCCATGCAAAAGTAAAGTATAATTAAACTTCACCATAACAAACCCTGCTCATAATGACCCATATTTATAATTATCCCAACAGCAAGAACCGATTTTTTTCATTGGTAATTAGCCCGGTTTAAAGCAAAACACACAAGGTTGACCTGGATACAACAAAGATATTTTTCTTGCTTTTCTCAGAACTTGGTATATTGCGAATGCACGTGTGCATTCTTTCCTTTTTTCCATTTGCTGACAAGGTTTTTTTCTCTTTTAAAGTATCATTTGATCATGCTTCAGTGTGAAGTAATCACTATAAAAATGCTATCTATTGTTATGTAGCATAAATGGGATACTGTTATTCTGATGTAGAAAGTTTTGAGAACTCACCAGAACACAGAGCCAGATAAAACAAGCGTTTAACCAGATCTCTGGTGTATTTCTTACAGCAACATTAAACTGTATAATCAAAATTAACAAGGATAAAGAAATCAATCTACTTAAGATATGAGCCAAAAGGGCTATTATCGCACATGCCAAGAAAAGAATTGCTGTACTTCTGTATTTCCCCAAATTTCACCATGGATTTTCTACTATTGTGTCCTTTTATATGAGCACAAACCAACAGAGAAAGAAGTATCATATTTAAATGCTGCACTGAACATTGTGGACAGGGCTATAATTCAACTCAGAGAGATTTTCACAGTACACGTATTAAGTGATCTGGATGTTCAGCATTTGAAGTATTCTTTTCACCACAGAAAGATTAAGAAGTCAGTTAAAAAGATTATGGGTAAGCTAGAAGAGGTAGTCTGGCTCATTTCTCTCTCAGCACTTCTGTGTCTGCTACCAGGGAGAGAAGACCTGGCAAAAAGAGACCGTGTTGCAGGGCACAAACACTGCTCCTTGAAGAGCAGCAGCAGAATCAAGCCCTGGCCACAAAGCACCCAGGTCCAGCTGTGATCACCAGCAACACCTGGTTTTGACGTTTGTTTCAAATCTCTGCCAACAGGCTAGCTGTACAAAATTTGGCAGCATTTTGGCTCCCAGCCCACCAAGCAGCCTTTCACAACTAACAACCCCAGCACTCAGTTCCTTCAAACGTGTGTCTTCTCAACTCAATCTTAACACATTCATCTGGTTATAGCACAGCGTATCGAGGGCTCTGCTATTTCACAGAAGCAAAGCAGAAGGTACATGATACAGTGAGAGGGTTTTTTTTTTTGTACTAAAGAAGTTGCTTCAACATAAACCTCAGCAACAAAGTTCTCACCCACCCACCACTCTCCCCTCAAATACCTTCTGCTCCCTCACAGGTTAAAGTAATAATTAACACTCAAACCCTCCTTTCCTTATTCCAGGCTTGTGTGATGACATTTGGGTTGAAACTTCAGTGCACAGTTGGGCTGTGAGAGTGTACAGCTTGCTTTGTGTACCCACAGTGCCGCCTTCACAGATGTGCATGTGCAATATGGTGGATTACTGGCAGGAAAACGTGTATGTTTTCATTTCTTACATTAGGCTTTTATACAATGCTTCACAGTCAGAGGTACAGTGTGTAAAACTGATTGATTTTTGTATGTCTTAATGGAATTGAAAAGCTCCATTTAAAATTATTTCTCTAATTGTAGGTGGCTTTGCTCCTCTTAAACATTATTTTAGAAACACATGGAATGCAAACAGGACAGACTCTTGTATTTTAAATACTTCTCAGATTTTAAGCTACAACTGTTAACTTTGCACTGAAATGTCAACGTTCAACTGAGGTCCTTGCAGCTGCTGTTGTATTTGCCACTGAATCTAACTTCCCCTCAGCCTTAGAATTCAACCTGCAACATATGGTAAATTATCTATGCCAAACCAGAAGGATTTCATGTCAATTTCATTTCACCGAAATTCAGTTTGCTCACTAAGTGCAACCCTAGTCCTCCAACAAGATGACTCATTCTGCTATGAAACGGAGGTATTTTTCAGGATATTTAAGGTTATCCAGCAGTAACATTCATATTTTAATACCTAACACTTGTCAGGGGTACCAGATTACAGAGCTCATTGCAAACTCTGATGCCCACCCTCCACTTAACTTGTGCTTTCACACCTTTCCCTAGCTTGGTGTCGCTTGACAAAGAGCAAAGATGGTCCAGAGCTGCTGGCACAGCCCCATGGCATGGTCAGAGGGGGTCAGCATTGAAAAGCACAAGGCTCTCCTTTCCCAGCCTGAGCCCCGGGCTCCCTCCATGTCCCCAGGTTTTGACAGCCCAGGGAGTGACACAGTGGGCTTAGATGTGAGACTTTCCACATGGCAATGTTAGACCAGGAGCTGCTCTGCAATTTCAGGATGGTGAAAGAGAGCAAGAAGGGTGGACGGTCACTTAAAGGTGAGAGTTTGAAGCACTACATCACATCTCTTCATAAATACAAAGAGAAAAAAGTACGTGTAATGTTTCAGGAACATCCTCTAGGTCTCATTTTATCAATAAGAGTAAAGAAAAATACGTTCTGCCCCTACATATTGTCACTTACAGTGGCCTTTTTTTAAAGCAGTTACTACAAAAAGCTTCAGGTGTTTGCAGATACTTCAGGCTGAGCAAAATAGAGCTCAGGTCATGTGCCAACTTTTAAAATGTACTTTTATCTAGCTGCTTATTCTTCGAGTCAGGTGTTTTGTCATAACAAACCGAAACAAAGGCTTTTTTTATTGCTCAAGATATTCAATGGCTTTTGTGTTCCTAGCGTCAGCGGGAACGTCAGAGGATTGTATCCAAGGAGCTAAATGTGCAAGACCTAGGGTCAAAGCAGCTGAATACACCAACCTCAGAAAACACAGACAATGAATTGCAAATGACACTCAAAACAAAACGGGAAAAAAACCTTCACACAGAAAACTACAAAAGAACTCCACAGATACTGAATTGGCTTTCTGTACACACTGATCCTGCTTAACTGTGTGTGGTAACTAACCAAACCTTCTGAGACTAATAGTCATAAAATAGAGACTCGGGGGTGGGGGAAGATAATGAGGTGGGGGAGAACTGTAAGGAAAAAGATTGCCTTGCCCCTCTTTTTTTCCTTTTTTTTAAAAAAATAAAGTTAAAGGGTGGACACGCATCTGTTGCTATTTTCTGCTATTTTGATGTGCTGAACATGACAGTTCAGCACAAGGCAGTTACTTTGCTATTAATTCCGCTGGAGAAGCCTCACAAAAGGTGCAGTGTTTCAGTTTCGGACACACAGCACAAAACAAATGGTTTAGTAAACCCAACAGAAGTGGTAGTTTTTTCATGACACAGAGTCGTTCTACTGTAGCTCTTAACTTGCAAGCAAGCCATCAATACAAGACATAAAACTGGCACGTACAGCACAAGTCTGAATACAGCTGTCTGAATTGATGTACTACTGGTCAGGTTCTTCTCGGGACTCGCTCTGGCTTGATCACAGGCCATATGACTTGGATGCCTTAATGCTAGGTTAGCTGTGCATTAAAGGAAGGATTAGGACTTACCTAGTGTCAATTACCCACCAACAGCAAATTTACAAAATGGTTGTTTTTTATTGACCAGCTAAAACATTTGTAAAGAGAATTATTAAGTGATTGGGAAATTAATTTTGTTTCAGTTGTTTTGCTGAGAGGCTGTTACTTGCCCTCTTCATCCAAAACAGAAAATCCTAAAATCTAAACTATCACTGCACGAAGCGGTCAAGTAATTAAGCACTCTCTTACACATTTTGATTCCTCTTGTTCTCTAATGTCAATGTAACTATTTATTTATTTAATTTTAGGGCACCTACTCCATTATTCAGGGAAATTCTCCTCTCTCCATGCTCTGTCTCTCTTTGTGAGAACACTTTTTTTAAACTCTTTTTGTCTGGAAACCCACAGCACATCACAGCATAAAGAGAGAAAAAAAACATTCTGCCAATCCTGCACCTACACTGAAAACTTGAAAGTCATGATGATTATTAAAAAACCCAAAAAAACACAAAAAAGCAATACTACCGCAGTTTCTCCAATTTTTATTTTAAGACTTGCAGATCTAGTCTCCATTAAGTAAAACTGTTTTTTTTTTCCTTTCAATTTTTCCAACTTTTAAAGGTAAATTCTTTCTTCCTCTAAGCTAAAGAAGTGCTCTTTTCCTCTTCCTAGCAAAGCTTTTATGTGAACTAGGAAAGAAAGAATTTCTCCATTTTGTCACTTTTGCTACATAGCTTCAGAAACATAACATAGCTACATGACACTCCAAAGGGAATAAAGAAAGTCTTACCCATTGCTTGTTTCCCCATGGCACACTGGTAAGTGTTCCTTGGGGACTGGTTGTGGTGAGGATATGGAATCAGCCCAGCACAGACACCAAGAAGCGTGAAAGGCTCAATCTCCAAATGCGTTGTATCTCTAAAAGAAGAAGTACCAATTATAGCAGCCTTGCGAACAAACATCTTAACTAGAATCTATGTAATCTAGTAGTATCACATAATACTTCAGTCCTGTTCAGGAACATGTAAGTCAGTAGGACCTCAAAATACAGATTCACTATGGGATTTTAGTTTTATTATTTTATTTTAGTTTTATTTAAAAAAAAAAAGCTTTTCTTTTGGCTCTCAGTGTTTCCACATGAAAATAAATGAAAGAGAAGTAAATGAAGGTTTATGAATTTCCATCATGGAGAAAGCCCCCAGATAATGACAACCTGAGGGACCTCAGTAAGACAATAAAACATCAGTTTATGCAGTAAGACCCAAAACGCCTTAAGGAACGTCCTCTCATGTAATGAGAGTCCTCTGCACCAAATCACCAATCTCAGAGATCTAGAAATCCACTGGGGAGTTGGAGGAAAGAAAAGCAAGACAGAGGCAGGTATTGAAAAATATAAAAGCGTTGTTTTATTTTTCCAAGGCCAGTTATATAACATGGGTTAGAGGGAAAACATCTGTGTCCAAACCAGACCCAGTGCTATGGGTGATATGGCATAATAAAACACCATTTGAAAAGCTCTGCAAATGTTTTAGACGTGATTATGTTGTTAAAAGGCAGTACTGATGAGAAGTAAAAAGAGCAACAACGAGTAAAGACTGAGAAATAACAAAATTTGTTCTACCTGGCATGAGCTTCCGAGGAGAAAGACAATTAAATCATAGCATGCATTGGGATGTGAGTGGAGTGACTAATAACTAAAGATGGAGTGTACAATAAAGCTTGGCTGGAGCAGATCTGCTTTTTAAATCAAGATAAGTAACTAGGAAATGGGGAATTTTGAAATAAAGATAATTATAACTAAACTGATCCAAAACATATCTTTCACAACGTTCTGGAGTTATTATACAGAGCTTGGGCTTAGGCACACATTGCTTCTCCCACACATTTAAACTCACTACATTTTGAAAATCCCATCTTTAATGTTTGACTTCTCTTGGAAGTCTTTTGGAAGATTTTTTTTTTTTTTACTAGTTAAAGAAATTAATTTGCTTACTAAATTTTAAGAGTTTACAAAGGAAATGACTGGAAAAATCTTTATTATGACAACACTCAAATGACAGCAGAGCATCACAAGCTCAAAAAGGCTGAGGAATTACCCACAAGTACATACAGACCAATGACAAGGACCAGCAGGAACTTACATAAAGAATGTATGTACTATTGGAAAAAATGAAATCTGAAAACTGAAAAAAATCTGGAAACTCTGAGGAGTAAACCTTCTTAAATTATCTATCAGTTCCAGAAATCTTTATAAATCACAAATATGCTTGAGCAACCTAAACATCACTCACTGGCCAGAGGATAGCAACTATTTTTCTCCACTTGATAAAAAGCAACTATGTTAATTGAAGCCTGTCTTAAAAAAATATGAATGGTAGAATCCCAATTGCAGTCAAATAATCGCAAAATGGTCTTAAAAGACAGTAGTAAATTTAAAGCACAGACTGCTCCTCCGTTCTGCAGAACTTCTCACAGAACTCTTGACACTTCTCAGAGAAGAAGGCTTAAGACTTACTGACAGTGAAGTCAGCACATTTCTTCAGAAGGTACTAGTGCATGGAACTGCATAAACATTTTCAGACAGGGTATTCAACACAAGTATTTTTCCACTAAGGTCAACTTTTATTTCAATCAAAGAAGATGCAACATACGCAGATCCTAGTATCTCATCAACTATTGCACAGTGCTAATGAGAGACTTTCAAACTTTACAGAGCAATTCAATTTCTGCAAGTCAAAATGCCACTGCCAGAACTGAGCCCAAGAAAGGAAGACAACCTCATTGGTTTGAAAATCAGAGTTACAAATGGGTAAGGAAGAAACTGAACGCATTAAACAGAGTCAAATCTTCTAAAGAAAAACCCCCTAATTGGATTGCAA